TTTGGGGAATTCTCTTAAGGCCTTCAACTGAGTAGATGAGGCCCACCCACGTTGTGAAGAGTAAACTACTTTGCTCAAAGAGTCTGATTTAAAGGTTAATCTCTTCTAGAAACTAGTTTCACAGCAACATTTGACCAACTACCTGGGTCCCCTGGCCTAGGCAGTTGGACTAGTAGATAGTATTAACCATCAGCCTCCATCAGTGAGGATGGATATTCTTCTACAATGAAAGCACAACTCATTAACAACAACAACGATAACAACAATAAACAAGTAAACATTTTTATCGAGCTCCTTTCTAAGTGGAAAGAGTTCTGAATCAGCTTCTAATACCATTTTGACTAGACTTCTGTGGTTTTATCATCATACACAGACACAGAGGTGTTTCTTAGACATAAAGCTGCTTCTCCTTTACAAATACGTGTGTACTAGTCCCTTGGACTAACTAAATAAAAATTAAAACTTAGGAACACAGTAAAAAGGAGGAGACCATTTTATCGGCAAGAGGAACTTTACTGAAGCAGGTTTCAGTGTAGGTTATTTGGTAGCCAAAGGAGGAGATAGTACAGAATGTACTTCATAGCTGATCTTGGCTCACATACATAGTGTAAATAGATTTAGAAAAGACATTAAAGTCTTATTACCTAAATGTTTAAAATATCATTATTATGAATCCCATAGTTTAAATGACTTTAAACATATGGCATATATTTAATTTCAAGTTTATCTAAACTTTGAAGGAATATATTATACTCAGTTTAAAAATAATTTATGTTAATTTCAAATTACTTGTGCTGGCTGAAAATAGAATTAATATTTGCTGATTCCCATTCAAATGGAAACAGATATATTTGTGCTATAATACAAACAATTTATTAATTGACAAAAGCACATGTGCCCACCTATCCAGGAATGATGTTGTGGGGAACAGAGTTGTATGGGCAGGGTTGGAAAGCCGTAATGATGTGACCCAATTATATAGGTCAGAGAAGGTGTTGCTGAAAAGACAGCTCTATGTCTGCACTCCCTGGGGTAACAGTTGTCCCTAAGGGCTTCAGGCAAAGGCACAAAATCTCAGATCCCTGGTCCCCATCACTCTTAAAGTCTTATTGCAACTAA